CGCCCAGGGTCGGCTTCGGATTGCAACTTCATCTGCTTTTCTTACGATTGTTTTTACTCACTATTCGATTTCCTATTGCATCTAGTTAACTCCTTCAAAAGCTTTCAACTTATTTCAGAAACACTCTGTATATTTTATGTAACCATTATTGGATTTGATACAAAAATAGATGGTACCAAAAACAATATGACATGAATGCTTTGAATGAGCTATTCACCTGATAGTACTTGCTTCCGGTATTTTATTATATTTGGGCTTAACAGTTGGCCGAAAAAGGTGCCTAACGATAACTGTTCTTAGAGGTACTCTATACAATACAAATTGCACCGTTGGAAGGTTAATTTTACATTGGAAGTTAATCTACGTTTCAAAAAACTTTTATCTATAGATTTTTAATTTACTAACTCGTGAACGGGATGTATACTCTGTATAGGTGCGAAACGAGGACATAGACGAGGTGATAAATGAGGAATTATTAGAAAAGGTAAAACAGATGCCGCTGTGCAATTTAATTACAGAATTGAATGATAGCATGATATGATACCTTGTGACAGTTGAAATGCTAGTTACAGACATGCAGAAACAGGGGTAATGGGGGTAGAGGAAGTCTTAGATTAGATAGAAATGATGTTGAGGCTGTAGTTTTAGCGCTTAATAAGTATTAATTTCAAATCCAATACGTCTATCAGTTCTTGAGAAAAAGAATCTTGACGGTCAACAAACTGACCCTTCGGTTTAAACAACTTTATTATTACTGTTACCGATTTAACTACTGATGAATTTTCTTTGGCTAATGATAATATTAATTGGATAACCTGCAAATGTTGCAGGAATATTTGTAGCCCATGAACGGGCTAACGATGTGCCATTTCCACTTCGTGTTTGCTACATCGGTGTAAGGTATATTTACCGTTATTGCGGGTGATACGATATAGTGTATGTTCAGATTTAGGAGTATATGGTATAGGCACATCGGCGCATACCTATACGTTATCTACATTTATTGTAGCGGTTTTAACAGATACCAATCTAAGCCGTTAAACGACTTGCACGTGAATTCAGAAGCTTCCTTATTGGATATTAAAATTCTAATCATATAATATGGTTATAATTTGAATCAACTACGATGTGAAATCTCTAAAAGTTTATAAGCATTTGAAATGTGATGCTACAGGCGAATGATGAGGATATCGTGGATCGAGAAGGTTAGAAATGAAAAGGTATTAGAAAGAGTAGGAGAAGTCAATAAGAAAAGGCCCTACAGGTTGGTAGGACGCCTTTTTAGGTATGAAGGACTTATTACAGACATGTGAGTATTAGTAAGTTCTTCAACAAGTTTGTAATAATATAATTAGTCGTTGTTTTGGATTTTCTTCTATGTAAAGGAGAATTGTTACCGTCGCAGAGTTTTGTGAAATTATTTGTAAAATTGTCCGGGCGTTTGAAGTATTTCTCTTCAAATATTCTGCCACTAACCGAGTACACTGTGAGAGCACTGTGTCAAATTCAACCAACCCTTTCAAAGACGGTTATTTCTAGCATCGCATCAGTGCAGTTCAAGTACGTAGTACGATTTCAAGTAACTCGTTCACAAAGTTCTTCCTTTTCTGTCTAAGGACTTGTCATGAGATTGTGTAAGAAATTTAAACACAACAAAAAGGAATTTTGAAGATCATGCAGGATACTTTCTACTGATATAGAATTCTGAAATTGGGAGTATCTAATGGATGGTCTTACATCAAGTCCCCCCCTCCCCAAGTAAAAGATTAATTTTTAATTCAAAATACGTAAATTAGGTTAAGGCAATGAGATATTGTCTTGATTCCCTAATTTTATACACTAAGCCCATACTTGAGCTCTTTACTTTTTAATCCTTTCCTGCATCCTTACTGTTTCCCATGACTAATTTTGTATCCAATATAGGCGAATTTAATAGAAATCCTCAAAATTTGATTTTGGTTTGGTTTCTGCACCCCTCTCGGAACGAAATGTTTTTGGATTTAGTGTTTTATTTATTAATGAGGAGGTAATAAAGAGTAGGAGAACAGGGGACGCTCTGGAATTCAATATGAATTAGGCGAGATAGGTTGGTAGGACACCTTCTTAGGGATGAAGGACAAGTTATAGAGACTTATTAGAAGCAGAACCAGGCATTAAGAAATGCAGAGATAGACCTAGATTAGATTCATCTTTATAAGATCGTCAGTCCTAAGACTGTTTGGACACGCACCTCCACTCTTTCCTATGCTCAGCAAATCTTTGCGTTTCCATAAACCCAAAGCATGTCATCCTTAACTACCTTAACTAGAATTCTACCTCTACTTCTTTTACTTCCTGTTTCTGCTTCTAATACGTCTCTAACCAGCCCTTCATGCTGGAGAAGGTGTCATACCAATCAACTTCGCCTATTTATTATTGACTTCCATAAAGTCCACTGTTTCTTTAACTCTTTCTAGTACCTCTTCATTTCTAACCTTCTCTATCCACGGTATCCTCATCATTCGCCTGTAACACCACATTTTGAACGCTTCAAACGTATTATTTTCAGCCGTGCTTATCCTCCATGTTTCGCACCCGTACAACGCCGCTCTCCAGATATAGGTACACCTTTAACAATCTTTTTCGAATTTCTGAATTAATTGTTCGAGAGCATAGAAGTGGCTTCTTTTTATTGAAGGCCACTCGAGCCTGCGCTATTCTCTGTTTTATATCTCTACTCCTCCTTCCATCCTGAGTTATCTGACTTCCTGTATATATTTGCCCTTTTCCTACTTTTCTTTCCTTGCATTCCAGTATTTCCGTTTTACTTTTAGATTAGACAAATAAAAATAGTTAAAAATGTGAGATGTTCGAATTTCAGCGAAATGCGAAGATTAGTCTAGAATAGAAGAGAGTTTATGAGCGTGTCTGAGGACTGACGACCCTTTGATGATGGTGATTAGTTTATTTACATTTTATCATGATAAATTTAGGGTAAATTTACAGTTAGTTTTGAAGTTTAGTTGTGCCGATGAGTAAAAAGGTCATTCGAACAAAGTGAAAATTATGTATCAATTATCACGATTGCAGAAGGAATTGAACAATAGAATTGAACACGATCGGTCCGTTTGTTTGCAAAGTAGATGTTGCCGTTGTTGTTTGTTGTAGTTGTTTCCCGTGCCTTTTTCAGTGCATAAAAATCACATTTACATAATTACAACAGAAGCTTGGTTTACATTCGTTTTCCGACTCTTAGCCGTTCGTTCCATTGTCTTTCTATCGCGAATGACTTAAAAAAAAAACATCATTACACTTTCCCGTTATTTCGTATAGTTGTGCCCTTATGGTTGGCTGTCGACATTATGATACACACACTTACAGACACAGGCACACACTTCTTGTAACAATAGAGCACACTGTGCCGGTCACTGACTCTTCGGCGTTTCGGTTCCCTGATGCAACATCTCTGACGGAATTTAATGGGCACAGCATAATTTATTGCGTTTCCTAAAAGATTATTTCGTATATATGTTAATTCAGTTAGTGAATCTTGGTTATAACAACATCGGTTATAACGACAACTTAGTTTTTAGTCGTTCCTCGAATTTACCATCCAACAAAGTCGGATATAACTTCATATGTTTATTTTTGCAAATCATCAAAACGGTCTCACAAAACAAAAAGTTGCAATTACCATAAGTACAATCATTTTATCCTTTCTTAATTGACACCCCTAGGTAATTCATAAATAGAAATTTTTCTTCCCCTAGCGACAGACTTATAGTTTTCGAAGAAGTGCGCCGATGGTTTTACATTTTTTAAAATTAAAAAAAAAAATAACGAATATGTCTTAAACGAATCGTAATGNAACGAGAGACTCGAGTCGCTCATAGAGAGATCCTCACTTCGTATCCGGTCTCTGAACGAGAGACTCGAATCTCTCAATAAGTGGTGTCTCGATAGACATGGTTAAAAGTTCAACATATTTCAGAGATCCCAGTCTTTCTACGAGAGACTCGAGTCTCTCAATTTTTCAGTTTTATTCGTTCAGTCTCTCTGTGACAGACTCAAATCTCTGAATTAACAATTTTATCGTTCGAGTGTCTCATACAGAGACTGTGAGAGATCCATAAAAACACCTGAGACACTGTGAAAGACTGTGAGAGACGCTCTCAGAGACGCTGAAAGACTCTGAGAGACTGGAGAGAGACTGAAAATTTTTGTCTAGGGTTGTTTCTGTACTTTTTCCATTTAATTTCTAACGTTCCCTAACACCGTCTCTGCTTTCTAAATCGTCTAGGCGAAATTGAAAGTAACGATTTATTCAGATCGGCTGCAAGTCGATTACGTAGGTATTAAATACCTTTCAAGTAGCGTCCTTCTCTTCGCGGTTTGAATTACTTGTTATGGAGCATCACTGTAATCAATCTTCAATTTTGTACAACGGGAAGCAGATCGAAAATTGGAAATAAAGTTCATCGAACCTTTCTTTTGACCCATGGTCGAGATGTTGTACTTATGTAGTATGTTTGCGTGTACTTGTTGTTGCTGTACCGTGTACTCGTTTGGCGTGGGTTGTTGTTTCTTTTACAAGTTCACCAGAAATAATGTTTTGATGCCTCTCTTACACTTTTAAGTTACTGAAACAAGTATTTATTCAAAGCCCGCGTAATATTACTTGACTTGACAGCCGTGAAATCTGAAGATATAGCTGGACTTGCGTATTGAATAACCTTGCACTGATAAACACGTATCTCTCAAACCAACCTGTATTCTTTTTTAATTTCGAAAATGAAGTTAATTTAATGTCTGCTCTTGTTTAGACAGAAACGAGATCAATGCCAGGCAGATATTTTTATTTCTCATTCGATACTTTGACCTTTAATTTTCAAGGCGTATTTCTGACAGAAAAAAGTATAACTTTTTTAAAGTTATATGTATAGACAGATAATTTGAAAAATCATTGGAGTTTAAATTGTTTCTTAATTTAGAATCTTTTTTATCGTTATTATTCTTTTCAGTTGTTCGATGAATACAATTACATCGGTGGGACTGAGGCAGTGAAGGGGTTATTTGGTAAGTAATTTGAAATAGATTGTATTTAACTAAGGTGCAGGGTTACTTTCGTCATTGTGAATGTTAAAGTGATTAACAAAGATTACTATATTTCATTTACTTTTTCTAGCGATTTGCCCCTTTCCAATGTCTTGGATGCCCGCTGGCAAAATCGTAGGTAGGGAGAAAAAAGCTCATTATATTTTCGACTCTTGTTCATTAAACATACTTTTTTTATACAGTACCTGCCAAAAGTTTTGTTCAATCATGAATAGTAGTGCGAGTCGAAAACAAGCGTTAAAGCCTTTAATATGTCTTCAAATATAAATAAACATCTCGTTGATATTTTCAGTAGTAAATGGTACCAATAACAG